TTTCTATAAACATTTGAAATTTGACTCTTTGTATAGACTATTATTCTTTCTGAATTGAACAATTTTCTTCCTTTTGGCTTGTTTTGTTGACTCTTTCTGCAAATATTAAAAGATACCTCTTCTTTACTACTTTTAGTAGTTTGATTTTTACATAATTAATACGTGAACTAAATTCTATATAATACTTACTATAAAGAATTCTAGTTGCAAGTATTCTTCAAATGAAAACATTTTGAATAATATTAAATTAATTAAAGCAATGTTTTTATTTATTAAAAAAAATAAGGTAATAGTATTTACCTTAATTAATAAGATATTAATTAATGTGTAAATTATTAATTACTCGATTATTTTGGTCGTTAAATTATTAAGATTTTACAAATACCAAGTATATTAGTTTATAGAGATTTAATTGTAGCCTGTATTAAAATTGTAACATTCCGCAACATGTAATATATGATTTTGTTGCGTAAATTATTATTAGGGGTTTTTATGCAAAAGTCCCCAACCAAGCATGTTTATTATTCTAGGTTTAGGGGACATATCTCTTTCACCAATAAGCCCATCCCTTTAATATTTATTATAACTAAACGAAACATTCATGTATATCCCAATATTACCATCAACCATTTATACCCAATTCTTAATTGTAACCCCAATTTATCAATTTTGACCACAAAAATTCAATTTTGACTTTATTTTGGAGCATAATTTAATATGCTCCAATTTCATCCTTAACTTAATTTAATCTTAATTTGACCCCAAATTTCACAAATTACTCAATTTTAACCCAAAACTTTTTTTTTCAAAAAAAAAAAAAAAATTTGCCGCCGGATTCCGGCGGTCAACGCCGGTCTCCGGCGTTGACTTTTCAACTTTTTTTTATTTCTTCCGGATTTTTTCGCCGGTTTCCGGCGTTGACTTTTTTTTTCTTGTCTTCCGGATTTTTTCGCTGGTTTCCGGCGGTCTCCGGCGTTGACTTTTTTTAGTGGTTTTTTAAGTTTTTTTTTTTTTGTTTGGTTTGTTTTGTTTTTCCACGTCTGCCGCTAAACGTTGACCGTAATTGTGCTGTCACTGACAATAAATTAACGTAATTATACTGTCAATGATAGTTAATTAACGTAATTGTACTGCCGTTGACATTACATTTATGTAATTGTGCTGCCGTTGACAGTAAATTAATGTAATATTATTATTTTTTATTTTTTATTATTTTTTTATTATTTTGTTTGATTTGCTGACAAGTCAACGTAATTATATTACTGTCGTTGACAGTAAAATAACTGTAAACACAATAATTTTACTGTCAACAACATCAATATTATTATTTTTTTGGGTTTTTGTTTTGTTTGAGTTATTCACGGAGTAACGTAATAATATTACTGTCTATTATTGTAATATTACTGTAAACACAATAATATTACTGTGGTTGACGGTAATATTACTGTTGTTATAGTAATATTGTTGTCAACCACATCAATATTATTATTTTGTTTGGATTTTTTGTTTGTTTGAGTTATTCACGGAGTAACGTAATAATATTACTGTCTATTATTGTAATATTATTGTGGTTGACGGTAATATTATTGTTGCTATAGTATTATTACTGTCACTCACAGTAATATTAATTCTTTTGGGTTTTTTTATTATGTTTACATTTGTTGAACGGTCAACATAGTAATATTACTTTATTACACAATAATAATAAGTTTTGTTGTGTTAATATTAATGTGCTAGAGATTAATATAGCAATATTACTGTGTTAAACTATAGTTTAGTTATTTTACTGTGTTTAACAGTAATATAGTTAATATTACTGTCAATCAAGCAATATTGCTGTTTAAACGGGAAAAAAAATTACAGAAAAAAAAAAGAAGAAAAAAAAATTTAAAAAAGTCAACGCCGGAATCCGGCGAAAAAATCCAGAAGAAAAAAAAAAGTTGAAAAGTCAACGTCGGAATCCGGCGGGAAAAAAAAAGTTTTGGGTCAAAATTGAATAATTTGTGAAATTTGGGGTCAAATTGAAGTTAAATTAAGTTAAGGATGAAATTGAAGCATATTAAAGTATGAGGGGTTATTTTAGTCATTTACAAAAATCTGGACCATGTGTGGACTTATTGGTAAAGGAGATTTTTATCTGGATCTCTTTATGAATAAGTACCCATTTATGGGCTTATTTGTAATATGCCCTTATTATTATGCACACTTCTATATCAAAATTTGGATTTTACAAAATTAATTCATAATTGTTCCGCACGATAAGTATTTACATGCATGATAACATTCTTACGTTTATATATTAGAGCATATACAATGGGATAGCTAAAAATCCCTCTTCAAACAGTAGGATCCACGTGCCACATACTCATTTTCATTTACTTTATCACCTCTCTAAAAATGGGTCCCACATTTATCTCTCTCCAAATTAAAATTGCTCCAATGGGTATATTTTGTTACTCTCCAAAATACTCTCTAAATATTAAACTATAATAAAATATTCACTATCAATATAAAAAAATACATATTAAATTTTCAAGATTTTATATTTAATTAATAAAATTGATTTAATTAACTTGACTTTGAAATTAGGCTAATTTACGGGAAAAAATTACCATTTAATCATGTTGTGATTTACGTTAGTTTTTTTTTTTCTTTTTTATATAATATATAAAAACTAATTAATAATATTAAAATTTAACAACTAACATAAAATTGATATAAATATTAATAACACAAAGGATTACATAAGAGTTGAATAATATTGTTGGAACATCTCTCTAACTAATAGAAGACACCAATAAAATTTTAAATTTAATTAGTATTTAAAATTTATAATATTTCAGTTATCATTTCAATATATAAATAAATTTACGTTCAAAAATAGAAATAAAAGAATTGATTAATAATATAAAAAAAATATTGGTAAAAAATGGACAAATGATACCGAAATAAAAATAAGTTGCAAATTTTAAAAAATGGACCTATACATTTTACAGAATAACAAGAATAAAAAATGTATGGGGTCCCACCTTTTATTTCTAGAGGACTCAATAGCTGTGGCCAGCCATTTAAAGGCTGACCAAATGTAGTTAGGCCTGTTGAGGGTTATTGAGTGCCACTGCACCATTATTTACTCTCCAAATTTGGAGAGCCTTTAAGGAGTCCAATGTACATGCTCTTAGGATTAGGGTTAGCAACAAATAATCCCCTAAACATTGGACGTTTTTGCTTATCCCCTGAATGGAAAAAACTTGCACGGGCATACCCGAGCTTAATAAATTGTTGCACCGATAACTACAAAATTCTATTTTTAGCCAAATTCTTCCCGTAATTGCACGCGTGCAATTCACACGTGAAAATAGAGGGGCAATTTTGATATCTCAATCAACAATACAGTCCTCAACTTGTTTTTTTTCGAGAGAGAAAGATTGATTAATTTGGTGTTTTGTGCTTTCGAGTTATAGTCATTAATTTCCGATGGGCGGTGGCGGTGAAGCAGAGGTGGCAGGCGGCGAAGCAGAGTTGGGCAAGCGGTGGAGTTGTGAGAAGAGGCGGCGGAGGGAGGTGAAGCAGAGACAAAGGCGGCGGCTGAGGGCTGAAGTAGATGAAGAGTAGTTTGGTTAGATGATGATGCGGGAAGAAGAATCTTCTTCCTTTTTTTTTTCTTTTTCTTGTTAAGATTTATTTATATTTATTAAAAAGAAAAGAAAGAAAATTGGTGTAAAATGAAATGACCAATTTACTCCAGCTATATGCACGTGTAAGAGCATCTTCAAGAGGTAATGCAAACTTATAATTTACACATTATGAACAACCAAGAGCAAAATTGTGAACTCCAAGATGAAAATGTATAATTAATAAATTGGCTATATATATTGTAACATTGACTTTGACTTTTCAAATTTGAGAAACCAAAACTATCATTTAGCAATCTAGAAAATATTAAAATAATTTTTTATTGTACTTTATAATGTATTTATCATTAAAAAAAATTATATTGTCTTACTTGCTTTTTATATTTTATAAATGTACTAAAAATAAATTTATTATTTTACTTAATATTAATAATAACTAAATATTACAAAAATTATTTATCATTTTAATTAACATAAAAAAATATTCCGTAACGAATTATAAACTTTTAATGTTTATTAATATATATCAATTAAGTTATTGAAATTTTTTATATCAAATTTAAAATTAATTTTCTATGCTTGTTAATTAGTATTATTAGTTATTGGTATATTAACTAAAATAAAAGTTAAATAATTTTGTAAAACAAAAAATCATTAAAGATTCAACATATAAATATATTGTTTAGAATAATAAACATTTTTATTAATATTTTATAATAATTGAATGTCATCTGGAAACTATTTAATAAGAAAATTAAATATAATAATTGTGTAAAAATATAAACAATGTTATTAGAGTGCAGTGTTAAAAGTGGAGTGTTAAAACACTATTCATTGGTTATATTATAAATATAGACAACCGTTTTCAGACACACTGTTGAAGATGGCATAAGGCACGTGATATGGATTGCCGGTCAATTTTGGCAAAAAAAATGGACATTTTCGATGTCGGTTCTAAGAATGATAGAGTGCAGATATACTCGTGCAACTTTTTTCCCATCAGAGATAAAGCGCAAAAACACCAAAGTTTAGGAGATTTTTTGCAATTAACCCTTAGCATTATTCATGATTGCTCGACTTGAATTAAGTGACCAAACAATTTAAATTAGGATTAACGGCACTTTAACCCCCAAACTATTTTGTGTTTTGCACGTTACTCCCTGAACTAATTTCTTTTACAAGTTTTTACCTTGAACTCATTTCCGTTCAACTCTTGTCGGAATCACTTGCACACGCGTGGCACGTGAGGTTTTAGAGGGTAAATACGTCAATTCAGTTAAAAATTGTAGTAGAGTTCAGATAAACCAACTTCAATTCATTGACAAAAACATAATTAATACAACACAAAGGTACAAACATAATTAACTAAACCCCATACACAAAACCACCACCATGAAACTTCTCTCTAGTGACGTCATCAATCATCCGTACCATCTCCTCTCCAAGATAGTTCACATGATCTCCAACTTCACCCCTCCTGAAGAAAGAACTGTACGGCAACGGAAATCCACTTGGCGGCATCTCATTGGACATGTTCACCTCATGACCGCTCAGGTTCTCAAAGCTGCAGTTCTTTACAATTTCACCCACAAGATCTTGATCTTCACCGCCTTCGAAAGGGCAACCCAAGAATTCCGCAATTCTTTCGACACAACCATTCGGGTTTTCCTTGAGCTCCTCGTAAGTAACAAAGAACACTTTCTCGGGTTTTTTCCGACTCTCGTCTCTGTAGGCCAAGACGTGATCATAGTACGAACCGAACGGGACAATCCCTCTGCAGAATTGATCGACTGCAGAGGGAAGTTCCCACGGATCGCTCGCGAAAACGTTACCGGATTTTTGCAAGAAATGCCATAGTGAAATAAGAGTGTCTTTTGGGTTTCTTGTGATGTAAACAATCTTGCATGTAGACGAACTACGCAAAAGATCGCCGATAATTTGATATGGTATGTGAGTTGCCAAGATTCTACTACTAGTACCACCACCCTTGTTATTTTGATCTTCGATTATCGTGGGGATAAAATTACCGTTTTGGACGTAGAGATTTGTTTCTAGAGATGGGATAAGTTCTTGCGGATGGTTTAGAAGTAAAGTGTCCGATGAATTCGGAGAATGTCGGTGGATTATGGAGTGGAGAAGGGCTTTCAGCCAGGTGGTTCCGGTTTTCGGGAAAGAAGCTAAGATTACATCATTTGGGAGTGGTTTGAAGTGTTGGAGAACTTGTTGGGTGGTTTTGAGGTATGTTTTTGTGAACCAAAAGCCATTGAATTTGTAGAGGAATTCATGGCCACACCATTTTTCTATTTGGGAAGAAGATGATGAAGATGAGTTGTTGAAATGATGATGATCATCTTCTTCTTTTTCCATGATGTGTGGTCTGTTGAATTGAATGAAAATGTTCACCAACTTGTATGGGTATATATATAGAACTTAAGGGAGGAGTCCGGGGATGTAATAACTCGTGTACTACTGTTGAAGATAGGGCTGAAAATTAGAACGGAATTTCTTTTTTTAAGCAATTCAGATCTGAAATTTTCTGATTTTGGGAAGAAAAAAAAATTTGATAGTGGCGATTTCAAAATTGTGATTTTTGATCCGATTTTAAATTCACAAAATAATTTCCGAAAAATCTATATTTTTTTGTGGAAAATTATAACTTATAATAATATAAGTATCACTACGCATTTTGTAATTTAGGTGATTAATTAGAAATTGAATATTTCGAATTTCTGCACCGATTCCAATCTGAAAATTTTCAATTTTGGAATGAATTTTTGCATTCCAGTTTTTGAAATTTCGGTTTTCTTCTATTAACGAAAGTTGAATATTTTTTTCAAGTGGTAATTCCGATCTGATATGTCATGTTTTCACCCTTAAGTAAGAAATAGGGAACGATGATATGTTAAGCAACTCATTTTCTCTAACCATGGAGGCACATTTCAAGAATAACAATTAAATCATATCTACAAAAAATTGGATAGATTTTATAGAATTCATATTTTTGCATGTGGTGACGTTGAAATATCATCAAGAATATATATATTTATATATATATTCACACGTGTGAGTGAATTAGGAACAATAATAAATAATATAACAATATGGGTTGGTGAAGGAAGGACGTATATAATTGATGCTTGGTGCACCAAATATGTACTTAGATTCTTCTTTATGACGAATGCATTATTGGTGCATATATTCATGTATAGATTGTGAAGAATATAATTATGTAATAGTGGATGCTTCTTTATGAATGCATTTGGTGAATATATTCGTTTATGATATTGATTAGAATTATTATATTATTTTTAATCCCATTTTGCACCTTTAAAATATATTTTTTGGCATTTTGCACCCACAAATAAATACTAATAGCACTTTGAACCCTTGAAAAACAATAAATCATGTATTATGCACCCGCGAATGAATTTTTAAAGCAAATGAAAGTAATTTAATATTTTTGGTGGTGTTGTTTTTAGAATGCGAAATGTTAGAAATTAGAATCATTTTTATGTATTCATCAATCTTTTCGAAACTAGAAAGTGCAAAAATAAAAATATATCTCATATTTTACATAAAGCAAAAAAGTACAAAAAAAATTCAGCTATTTCGTTATCGAGTTATTTGTAAATTATATCTTCTTCCAAATTTTTCTACCAAATATTTTCATTAGTTACAAATAAAAGATCCATTGATCGAATAATTTAGTGAGATTTTTTTTTTTGGTAAGAAATGATGTTTTATTTCAGTAATTCGTTGTGATATTTTTTTTTCTTTTTGTCCATTTTGTATATATGCTCGAATTTATATTGGAGGTAGAAGAAAGTAATAATTCAATTTGTTATTTTGCACCTTGCAAATAAAATAAAATAACCAATAAAACTTGAAATTATCCTCATTACATTTTAAATATTCAATTTTTTAAGGGTGCAGAGTGAAATTAAACGAATATATTTCCGTATATGAATTGTCAAGGATTATATTGCATTGAGGGTAGACTAGTACATTTATACTTTTTCATTCAAAATTCTCATAATTATGATTAATAATCACAGATTAATTTAGGTGGTGTTTGCAAATGATTATTTAAAAGCAGAAGTTAGTGATTGTGATTTAAGTTAGTTTTAAGTGCTTATTTCTAAAAGTTGGGAGTGTTTGCAAATATTTCGGAAAATGAACTAAAATTGAAAAAGCAGGATTAGGGGTGCTTTTAAAAAAATAGCTTAAAGCAGATTATTTTAAGAGAAGCAAAAGCAAAAGTTGATTTTGCAAACACCTAAAAACAGATTATGGGCAAAAAAAACCGCATAATCACTTTCAAAAAGCCTTTGCAAACACCACCTTAGTTTACTTACATTAATTACTTGGTAATTAACCAAATTGTATACACTAATCACATAATTAGTATATATATTTACCTGCAACATGATTTATTTGAGTTCATAATTCGGCTGAAATTTCTTATTTAATACATGGACTGAAGCCCAATTTGGTAGGCGGAGCGAAAAGGTCAGAAGTGGGTTTGGGCTCAATACATTTGGATCCAAAATTACTTTATTTATATATTTATTTGAATAATTTAATAAAATATAATATTATTATTATGTAAAAAAAAATAAAAATAAAAGAATGATATAATGAGCTGAGCTCGAAAATTTTGGCGAACTTGGCTCGTTTACACCTATAGTCTCAATCAAGGGGTGGAAATTGAATGGAAATATCAAGTTCTGCGATTTCGATCTGAATTTTTTTGTTGTTTAACAATATTTTTCATTCTAAATTTTCCGAAGATTTCAATGTCCAATTCTAATTTTAATTTTTCATTTTTTTTAACAAAATTGTAATTGATATTCGATTCGTAATTCGATTTTAATTCCAAAAATATTTTTCGAAAATTTCAATTTTCCAAAATTACACTCACAATCTCAATATTATTATGTATATTGTTTAACAGATTACTAACGATTTAGAATTTTCGAATTCCGCTGATTCTGATTCAAAAAAATTCAATTTGAGAATAACTTTTTTCATTCTGAATTCTGAAATTTCGATTTTTTTTTTTTTTTCTTAACGCAATTGTAAATTCACAAGCTGTGCTTGGATCTACATTACTATGTGAAATGAAGTCGGCTATATTGATTTAGAATTTATTGAATTTGAGCCAACAACATATATCCATAACAAATAATTAGTAGTAGTTTGTCTTTTTTTAAATTAAAACCCGTGAAAATAATTTGCCATTTTGTGAACCCGTGAAGACAGAGAATTCCTTAGACAAAACCATCAGTTTCAACCAAACAGGACTGCCTATGTTATTTATTGTCCCTCCAATTTTTGTACCTTTGTTGTAATTATGAATCCAATTATCTAATTTATTAGAGTTCGAGTTCGAGTCCAGCTTCATACAGTAGAACTTCGATAAGTTAATAATTTCGCTCGACGTGGAGGTTTAGAAATTCTTAGAAGTCTTACTTTTAACATGATTTAATTGTTACGGTTAATGGCGGACCCCACATTTTAATCAGGTTGGACTCGAGCACACTCTCAACTCAACGTTCTTACATTGTATTAATAAGTCATATTTATGTATTTAGCATACTCAAATTATATCGACTAGTAATTAATTAACGTTGCAGGGTAACATTTCAAAAGGGAAGAAAATCGTCCGTAACGATTAAAGCGGCCATGGAAAAAAACCAAATAAAAATTAACTTTCATAATCAACCGATACGCGCATATTTTTATAAAATAATCTTATATATAAAAGAAAGAAACGTTGGGCAATCCTAAGAAACCCTATGGCATTTTTGTAATTATTTATTTTTTAGTATTTTTTTTTACTAATTTTCTAATTATATTTTCAACAATTATCAAAATTGACACTGAACCGTGAATAATCATTCCGGTTTCAATCTCCTATTTTTCATCAAAATATGTATATCTCAAATCTTAAGAAATAAAGATAAAAATTTGATTTGTTAAATTGATCAATTTTATCACCTTTAAAATCCAATTCCGTGCATCGCACGAGAAGAAAATGCTAGTACAAAATAAAAAGATACACACGGAATTTTCAAAAATAACATTCGTTTATTCCTTTTTATATATAAAGGTAAGTTGGGTTCGCCGGTTCGGTCATAAATTTTAATAAAATAAATATTTGAAAGAGACAATTGTAATTTGTAAGTAGTTTACATGGTCAATTATAAGAAATTGTAACTAGTTTACATGATCATATTTTAGGATATAACTTTAAAGAGTTTGATATATACTTAGTTTAGTTAAATATATTATAACTTTAAAGAGTTTAATTTATTCTTCTTCTTTTTTTAATCGAGGGTGTTCGCCCCTGAACCCCGTATATTTCTAACCTACCCTATAACAAATCCTGCATCCGCCACTGAATACGGAAAAAATTGTCTCCACTAAAATGCTTATTTCTAAAACATAATTCGACAGATATATTGAAATTTATCTCCTCCCAATCTACAACTCAAAAAAAAAAAATCCCTTTTTTATTACCCGATATGAAAAGAAAACGAGACTCGGAAGTTTTTCGAAACACAGCCTACTAGAGTTTCTTGAAAATTACCTGAAATTAAAGACTACATCATGTATAGGCAGGCAGGTATTTGATGACAAAAAAACCCATGCAAATGGCACTTGCTATCTTTCTTAACTAAACTCAAGTTCTGAAAATGTGATTTTTGTCACTCATGAATTCTGTGGTTTCTATCTGTAAGACTCTCGTGAACCAACTGGTGCCCCCAACCCCCAATTCTCAACCAAGAAATGTGTATTGAAACAACACTAAATAATAAATCAAGATAAGCCCAAATAAAAAAAAAAAAAAATAAGAAAAAAAATTATTTTATCATTAGTATAAAATATATATTAAATGATGTTTCCTTTTTGTCTGTTTGGTAAATTCATGCCTTAGAAATAATGCTTATGGTTTGCAGTTCACTTGTTTCTGCATGAACCACATTAAGACCCCCACCCCCCCTCCTTTTTTCCCCTAATATAAAAATAGGTTTTAGGGACAACCCTATCTATCTCCATAAACTACCAAAAACACACACACTAGTATGTGAAAAAAACCAAAAAAAAAACATTTTCTTACATGCATGTCAATGAAGTTTAGCAGTTGTTTCGTTCTTGAAAACCCGTCGAATTTCGCCTAGTTTTTTTTCTCCGATTCTTTTTTTTTTTCGAAAAAATGTCATGGTTTTGGGCTGTAATATTTCTCACCTTTGCATTTAGTTACTCTTCAGAGGGGTTTAACAAGAAATCATCTGCTGTAGTTGTTGGCACTGTCTACTGTCAGACATGTTTCCAGCAGAATTCAGCCAGCCGCTTCATCGAAGGTTCTTTTTTTTTTTTTTTTTTTTTTTCCGATTTTCGAGTTGCGTTTCGATAATAATATTAACTTTATCCGGAAATTTTCTTGCTCTTCAGGTGCATCTGTTGTAGTTAAATGCAAGGACAAAACATCAAGTTTCAGACAAGAAGTGAAAACAGACAGCCGTGGCGAATTCAAAGTCGACCTACCTTTGTCCATCAGCAAACATGTCAACAAAATCAAACAGTGTTCGGTTAAACTAATCAGCAGCAACAAACCCTACTGCGCGGTTGCCGCCACCGCCACGTCATCGAGGCTCCACCTTAAATCAAGAACTCAAGGGGCCCACGTTTTCTCGGCAGGCTTCTTCACTTTCCGACCACTCAAAGAACCGGAAATTTGTGACCAGAAACCAAGCATCAATGGTGATGAGAAAATCTCCCCGATCTCAAACCCTAACGACCCAACTTTTCTGCCCCCGATTCGGGACCCACCCCCGGTCGATCCGCCCCTCCTCGGCCGCCTCCTCCCGCCAATCCTTTCTCCTCTGCCGCCGCTCCTCCCCGGAATCCCATTTCTGCCGCCAGTAGTGCCTAAGAAGGAAGAGTCTCCAAAAGCATCATCTGAGAAAGCCGTGACCGACCCCCCCACATTTCTGCCGCCGGTTCAAGATCCGCCGACGTCCGATCCCCCGCTCCTAAGCCGCCTCCTGCCGCCGATCCTCCCCCGCCTACCACCGATGCTGCCTAAAATCCCATTTCTGCCGCCAATACTACCTAAGAAGGAGGACTCTCCAAAAGCCTCGGAATTGTCGTCGGAGAAAACCGTGATTCAGCCAGAATCTTTTGGATTCCCCCGAATCCATTCAATCCGCCAAGCATTTTCCCACCAAACCCTTTTCAACCACCATCTTCCGTAATCCCTCCGATTTTTCCGTCGCCTCCACCTTCGATTTTTCCTCCACTTTTACCGACGCCTTCTTCCCCACCTTTCTTCGGACAGCTGCCGCCCTTTCCTGGCTTGACTCCGTCACCATCGCCGCCGCCGCCAGCCTTTCCAATCCCTTTTCCTCCGTTTCCTTTCCAGCCGACACCTGGCTTCCCCGGAGTGCCGCCTGCCAAGGCTTCGAAAACAAGCTCCCCTTGATTGTGAGGTTCACATAGTTGCCTTGTGCAATTTAATTATACCAAATTATCACACTTTGCAATAAATTCTGCAATGTTTTGCTTTTTAACATATGTTCTCTAATAGCTTTCATGTTTTGTAAATGTCTATTAATAATTTAATACAATTGTCAAGTGAACTTGGATGGTGAATTCTTTGACAAGTACAATAATACTGAAACTCGAGATTTAAGTGCCAAATTAGAAAGCTTCCCTCGAAATCTTGATAAAAAAAACCATTCGAAACATAATTATATTGCTTCCGAAATTGAATAGTACATCGACTACTTAACAGGAGCAAAAAAGGCCAAGCCAAAGAATAAATTACTTGAAAAAACGAACTACAAAACGACAACGAACATACACGACAGTCTTCATAGTCGACCAACTTCTCGTTGTACTCTTTAAGACAGTGCATTAGATCATCGCATCATAGTCATCCAACTTCTCGTTGTACTCCATGACCTTCCTCTTAATCTTCGATGTATCGACCCATGTAATAAAGTCTTCCATATTCCTCGTAACAAGAAAAGCTGGGTCGGTAACTGTTTCGGGTCCCACACGAATATGCCCCTGTTCGATATACGTAACTGCTTCTTTCAAGTGTTCTGCAAACTTCAGCCGCATCAAGATAGTGGCAAGCCTACGCCTGAGGGAAATAGATTACACCAAGAAATAACCATTAGAAAATCTGCATTCGAACTATTTTTGTTTTACGCAGATGGTAAACCAAGAATTGTGAGAAAATATAAAATGAATTGCAGTTTACATGTCACTTACCGGCAAAAAGATGACACAGACAAACGCTCGCACAAAGCCAAACTTTTACGAGATGGTATAACACCCATGTTGTACCTAAATAATCAAAAAAAAATCAAACATAAGAAATTCAAATTGTAAATTTGAATCTTCTTCACATACAGATATACTTAATAAGGAAACTTGATTCAGTCGAGAAAATCACACGTCTTTCATATTTGAGAAGTACCAATATGAACTCTTAAGAATTACCAGGAAAGCATGTTACGTATAACACAGAATAAGATACGTGTCGGCTACCACGTATTCTTTCACTACAAGCACCTTTATGAAGCAATTTTGCAACTGTCTATCGTATACCTAGGTTACGTGACTGCAATTAGGAATTCAAATATTCCTCCTTGCCACAAGAGTTGCAGTTCTCATCAATCTAAAAGAAGAACAAGTTCGATGCTAGTTGATATCCATGAACTCACGCTTGAGCTTCATTCAGATAAGCCCTAATAAAATGCTAATTACTTTTTTTTGTTTCGTTTAAATTCGTCAACATGGTCAAAATCGTGGAATCCAATAAACTGAGGCTAATATATGTGGAGGATTGAGGCTCTGGAAAGTGGATATTTAATGACGTGAAGCATCAAAGAAGAACTAACATAAACTATGTGGGGTAGCTCGTATTACCAAGCTCGGATTAAAGTTGTTTTTTTAATGTAAAAAACTTTACTAAACCTCTATGTTTGATTGTTTCTCCACATAATTTACATACTGCCAATACACTAAGATGAATCGATTTTGTGAATTCACTATTCAAGAAGCTAAACATAATCCAATAGCAGCACTTATATACAAGCATTCTTCATTTATACGGAGTTGTTCCGTAATCATTCGATACTCGATATATACAGCCAACCATATAATCACTATCAAAAAAATCAAACACAGCACTCAAAATTTAATCTTAGAACTCACAGTTTTTCGAGAAGGGCCTCGGTCATCTCAATTCGATAAGGATCTCTTGCATCCATTTGTTTCAGTATATTCACTAGCTTCTGCGCCATTCTACACAAACTCGAATACCTAAAAAAAACATACATGAATTCATCTCAAAATTACATTATCAATTGAAAACGCACACAAAAATTTTGAAATTCTGAATTAATTTAACGAAAGGAGCAGACTTTAATAAAAAAATTACTTTTTGTAGTCATCTCTGCCAGTGACGTGATACCGTTGAATTACCATGTTTTCCCTCTGGCCACCTTCTCTCTTCCATTCCAAGAAATTAACTTTCTTCAGCAGCTTCTTCTCATGAAACTTCAGCTTCCTCATCTTCGCCGGTCGTTAACTCCACGCGCCGCCGCCTAAGAAGGGAAAATTCTAACTCCTCAAGCCGCCGGGAAATTGTAATTGGAATCGATTACTGAAACTGAAGCGCGCCCCGGTCTCGAATTTGAAGGAGTTTGGTGGTAAGGGAAACCCTGAGTAAAACCCTAGAATTTGGGGGATTCGAAAATCAATAGAAGAATAAAGTTTTGGGCTGATATGATAAAAGGCCCAAAATCGGGCCTCCATTAAAAGAGGCCCAGTTATTCCTAATTACACAAGCAAATAAGTAAATGGGGAAAATACAATTTTCATCCCTCAAGTTTGCACTGATTTCACATTTGGTCCTCAATGTTAATAAAAAAACACATTTGGTCCTCACATTTCAACAATTCAACACTTTTAGTCCTTTCTGTTAATTTTTCGTTAGTACTAACTTAATCAAGTTTGTGCCCATCACTGTCTTAACCGACGGATTAACGGTAAATTGACGGAAATGACCAAAAGTATTAAATTATTGTAACATGAAGGACCAAATATGTTTTTTTGTGAAAATGGACTAAATGTGAAACTAGTGAAAACTTGAGGGGTGTATACTATAATTTTTCCTAAGTAAAAGTAATTTTATTTAAGTGTTTTGAGTAAATTATTTAAACTAACATTTTTTCCATAGCGATGCATAACAATTATAATGAACTGTATTAGTGATATTGGTAACAATATCAATATTTAATTATTTATACAAATTTAATAATATAAACTTATTCCGAAAAAAAATATATAAATTTAATTGTCGTAATATGATATTAATAGTTAAATAAATGAAACAGAGAAGAATTAGAGAAAATATGCTGAATTTTTTAGGTTGCCTGAGCATTTTTTTTTTCCTTTTATATATAAAGATGGATCTAATAATACCTTCTAGTTGATTAATATCAAAAAACGTAGTAATTTTTATCATTATGATTTCCATTTTCTGGGTTATATTTGATTATCTCTAACAAACATGATTAAAACAACAATATGAGTGTACATGATTTTGCTCTATACTATCAATAGAATTAATTAATTGAATATGTTAAACTAGCAAATAAATTATAAAAGTGAACTACATGTGTGGTTTTTTGTGTTGGATGAAAGTGTTTTTATCTTCGCCTAAGCTTTGAAGGAACTCCGGTATAAATTTCCTATGGTCCGAGTGTTGATCAAGAATCGCACCATGTTATTAGACCCCGTGTTTTAACAAAGATCGAAGATGGCCGACATAACACAACCAAGAAAACAGAGTTATACTGCACGAATTAGCTAAAACTGCAAGAAAACACAAGATACGGAAAAATACGAGACGCCGAGAATTTACAGATACCAAAGATGAACTAAAGCTTAACCACCATGGTATACGTAATAACTGCATACTCTTGAAATATGCGCTTTTATAGTTTAATTAGTCGACACGCATTTGGCGATCGAAGTCGAGTCGTCGCAAGAACTTCATGAATAATCTTATCTAAAAAAGACAGCTGATAAAAATTTGAAGTTGCAAAACAACTATCTTTCGAAATAAACAAACGTACAGAATCTCGGAAAATAAATATGAGGAACCATCTCGAATGATCAAAGTGCTTTAGTGAATAAAACATGTCAAAGGTACACAAGGTACACAGACAGCCAAAAGACAAACCAAAGGTCAAATGACACGAGATCGAAAATAGTTTTACAAACCAACTCCCACGAGCATCGATTCTACACTAGATAGATAACAACTGGTACGGCAATTTTCCTACACTCACAAGCCACAAAGGCTGGTCTTCCAAAATTCATGCTTTTCTGAAATGCACCCTTTTTGTCTCCACGTGCTGCATCAAGAAAAAAAAAATTACTCGTCGATGCATCAATCAATGAGCAAACACGGTGTCGTTCCGCCTAGGCGGCCTATCAGGAACTCCCCCAGGCTTAAACTTTGAAGCCTCGTGCCTAGCAAGCTCCGGAGGAACGGGGCTGTTGCTCTGCATAAGCATCTGCTTGAGATCGTAAAACACTTCTGTGTCGTGCAGAGTCAAGAACGTCGTCGCTATACCAGTCTTGCCAGCACGACCTGTTCTTCCAATCCGATGAGTGTAGGCTTCGATGTTATTAGGCATGTCGTGGTTTATGACGTGCGCCACGTCAGGTATGTCGATACCGCGTCCAGCCACGTCGGTCGCAACCAAAACAGTGAACCTCTTTGTCCTAAAACCTTCGAGGCTCACCTCTCTCGAATCTTGCGACTTCCCACCGTGCAATGCCGTCACTTTATAGCCCTCTCTCTCCAAAACTTTGAAAACGTTATCCGCAACTTTCTTCGTGTTGACAAATACAATAGCTGTCTTGTCACCGAGCTCGTCCAGCAATCTTTTCAATCTATCCATCTTATCGTTCTCTCTAACCATCATAACGTGTTGGGTAATGAGGTCGGTTGCCTTTCCTGCAGTGCCGATATTGACCACGACGGGGTTTCTCAAGTACTTCCTCGCTAGCCGCTCCACAGCAGTAGGCATAGTAGCACTGAACATATAAGTGGTTCTGTATATCCTCTTCTCGTCGAGCTCTTCATCTTCGTTCTCCGGTTTCATGTTACTCGAAGGCATTGCATCCAATACACCAACTACTTGTGGTTCGAAACCCATATCAATCATACGATCGGCTTCATCAAGAACCACATAGTTACACTGGTTGAGAACTGCATACCGCCTCTCCAAACAATCAATAAGACGTCCGGGAGTAGCAATAACAACCTCACACCCCTGCCTAATCTTAAACCCTTGTTCTTCTATGGATTGTCCTCCAACAATTGACACAACCTTTATTCCCAAGTAATGTGCGAATTTCACGGTCTCTTCTTCAATCTGCTGAGCAAGCTCTCTCGTAGGAGCCATCACAACAGCGTAAGGCCCCTCAGCCTCGTTTTCTTCGGTAATAGGAGGAAGCCTAGTTATGTAAGTCAGCATAGGTAGTACAAAGGCAGCGGTTTTACCCGAACCAGTCTCTGCGATACCTATCACGTCACGCTGCTGCAGACCAAGTGGAATTGCCGCCATTTGAATGGGCGATGGAGTCTTGTAGCCAGCCCTCTCAACCGCCCTGAGTAACTCCGCATTCAACTTGCTCTCGCCCCAGCTCCTCATTGGTCGAGGAATCCTCGAACCCTTGTAAGAAATGTTGAAATCTTCCCTGAAGATCCTCCAGTCTCTCTCAGTCATCTCCTCGAGCTTCTTGTCGGACCAGTGGCGGTCAACCCTCATATCAAAGGTGTCGTAGGCATCGGCAGCCGCCTCCTTCTTCTTCTGCGCGGCAGCTTCTTCGTGTGTCTCCTCGATTCCATCCTTGTGGCGGATTTCATCTCGGGTGTCCTTTTCGTTCTTGGCTGCGAGCTTTTTCTGCTCCCTGCGGTCCATTCCAGCCCTGAATCCACGGCCGAAGAGGAGACGAGCTTCGTGAGGGTTCTGGTAGAGGGAGTTCATGTCACGAGAGGTGTCCTCGGTGTTCTCCCAATCGAAGGAGAATCGGAACTTCTCGCTCGGCTTAATCACCCTCTTTTTGGGTTTCTTGGAGCCCAAATACTGCTCCTTTATAGCGGAGAGCTCGATTTCACGCTCCCTCTCTGCCAATTTCTCTGACCTGGACCGATCCCGCGCTTTCTGCTCATCCTCGCGCTCTTTGTCACGGTTCCGGCGCTCGGAATCGCGCTCCCTCTCACGTTCACGGTCGCGCTCACGGTCACGGTTCCGACGATCGGAATCTCGGTCACGGTCACGGTCACGGTCTCGGTCACGGTCACGGTCACGGTCTCGGTCACGGTCGCGGTCACGATCTCGTTCGCGGTCACGGTCACGGTCAGCTGAAGACGAAGGTTTGGAGTCGTCTTGGAGAAGAAG